GGGAGGGGGAGGGCGTGTGTCAGGGAGGAAGGAAAAGAGGAGGGGAAGGAAGGGAGAGAGGGCAGCCCGGGAGGGGGTGGCTGGGGAGAGCTGCGGGCGGGCGGGGACGGGCGTTGGGAGGGGGTAGGGGAGCCCAGCCGGGGACAGCCCGCCGGGCACAGGGTGGGGGTCGGCGGGCGGAGGCGGACCCGGAGGGGCGGGGCAGGGGGAGGAGCTCGGGGCGGACTCTGGATTCGGTGGGAAGAGAGGGCGGAAGGCAGAGGGGGAGGGACGGGGAGGGGCAGGGGAAGCCAGCCTGGGAGAGGGGGAGGGGAGCCCACAGGAGGAGGACTGGAGGGGGTGCCCTGCCTTGGGGGATGTCCCAGCCCGTAAAGCCTCATGGGGAGGGAGTGGTTTTGAGGTAGGGGGTTAGGGAGAGGAAGCTGGAGTCAAATCCTACTTTTAACGAGGACCCTTCTCGGAGATGCACCCCCACTGGCCCTAAAGTGACATTCACCTTTGCCCTGGCTGGCTCCTATTTCACCAATTCCTGCAGTGACAGCTGGTGGACCCAGGGGATGAAGTTTCCCACCCTCCCTATCCTGGTGTCCCACCCTCCCCTTTCTCCCCAGAGAATCACAGGCGAGAACACTGGTGTGCCCGTGGGGTGGCGCTGTCGATGGTCTAGGGCTGGCTCTGAGAGACCTGCCAGGTGCTTGAAGACATGGCTTCTTGGGGCCCTCACCTTCCAAGGTCTCTGCCTTCACCTGTACCTTGGGACGTCACCTTTGCAGTTCCTGGGGAGAGGTCATGGGGAGAGGTCATAGGGCGAGGTTGGGCACAGCCAGGATGCAGGCAGGAGCTGTCAGGAAGAACCTGAACGAGCTGCCTCCTCTCTCTAGGGTCTGTGGCCTGATCCCCAAGTGGGGCTACTCCCTGTTGTCATGAGAGAGACCCTGGAGGCCCTCAGCTCCCTGGGTGAGTCAGACCCTGGAGGAATGTGGAGACATTTGGGGACAGCAGAGCCGTCCTCAGGAGGCTGTCCAGACTGGGCTGGCACATGTAGGGCAGCACCCTTCTAGGTGCTGGGGTGTGGGAGTGCCTGGAAGAGGGTTGTGTCCGCCTATGTGAGTGCATGTAAACACTCACAGAGCCCTGGGATTCAAGTATATTTTCATTACTCTATTTCTTCCTCTTCCCATCCTTAACTCCAAGAGGCTGAGTTGTTACCAGCCAGGCTCCTTTCCAAGCAGGTCCCCACCTCTGACCATCAGTTCTGGGTGAGTGCTTCACTTGGACCCATCTTTCTGCCTGTGACAGGATTCTCTGTGGGACAGCCAGAGATGGCCCCCCAAAGTGAGCTCAGGGATGGATCTCATAATGCCCAGGGGCAGATGACCTCCACCAGGGAAGAGAGAGCAATGAACACACACTCAGGTAAGTAGGTGGGGACCATGCAGAGTGGTGCAGGGAGTAACCTTTCTGGCCTTTATTCCTCTCTTCCACTTAGTAGTTACTGAGCACCCACTATGTGATGGGTGCTAGATATCTGGAGTGCCTTGGTGACCAAAGATCTCTACCTTCAAGGAGCTTAATCCTAGAGAGTGCAGAGTCAACCAACAATAAATGTAAAAATGAGAAAAGTTAGAAAGTATTAGGAGATTATCTGTGTTGTGTGGGAGGGGACGAAGCACACTGAGAGGTTGCAGGTTGGGGCAGATGCGTTGTAGGATTCGGTGCTGGGAAGGGGCTGGATCAGGAAGATTTGGAAGAGCTGAGAGAGGTGGCTAAGGGGACCTCCAGAGAAGAGCGTCCAGAAGGGGACAGCCAGGACTGAGCACCTAAGGCAAAGCATGCATGCCTGGCCTTTTGGTGTCCTAATCTTCAGCAATGATTTGTCTTGCAATTGGAGTCCATTTAGGAGCTAGGGGTCCACCTGGCTCCTGAGAAACAGGTGAGCCTCAGGTAAGTCCCAGGCTACTACCTCACATAGCGTATTCCAGAAGCACCTCTCAACTGTGGCTCCTCCATCCTGTTCACCCTTAGCAGCTACTCTGGGGGAAGGAGCCTGAGGTTTCCCTGGGCAGCTGGGCATTTGGCCCCTGAAGGTATGATGTGGGACCGAGTCCTGTGGGTGGGCTAGGAGTGGTGGTTCAGGTGCTCCTGCTTCCTAGCACCAGTGGGGACTTTCATCTGCCTGTGATGCTTCCAGAGCCCTTGAGGTTCCCTCTTCCCTTCCAGGACATGAGATCCCTGGCCCAGAGGTTAGTGCCCAGACTGAACAAGCCAAGGCTCCCTGCAGAGGTGGCCAGATGTGCACCCCACAGAAGGCTGAGCCTGTGGGCTCCTGCTCTGGTGAGTCTGCCTGTTGCTGCATCCACCACAGGGTCAGGCAAGGGGCAGAGGGGCCCAGTGGGCCCCAGAGGTGCTGTCTGATGAGGCAGGTCTGCCCCCTTCCCCAGAGACAACCAATCTAGGACCTTCCAGCCAGCATGAGTTCAAGCCCTGGCTCTTTTCTTCAGTGCTCAAAGCAAGTTCCCATCAATAAGTAGCAGAACTGGAGAGCCAGTCCCCAAAGGGAAACACCTTGCCTCATACCCCGCTCTAGAAGCCCTAACTTCCCTCCTCGTGCCCCCCAACCTTAACACATGGTGTTGGTCACCTAAATCACAACGACCACAAACATAAAGGATGTTGATCAACCTTTTCACTGTCTCTGTCCTACAAATCTCTACTGATCCCAGTGATATCATGTAGTCAACCCATCTCTTCCATACCCAGGGCCGTCACTTCACAACCCCACCCGCCCTCCCTTCCTTCCACTACCACCTCTTGCCTGAGTGACATCGCTTCTCCAACACAGTTTATTTAGTGACTGCTATGTACAGGCTATGTTGGGCATGGTGAGACCAAATTGGCCCTAGACCTGGTTTGAACACTAGCTCCACATTTATAGCACCGGCCGAGGGCTGATAGGCTGCCTGCTTGGCAGGAGCTCCGGTTTGTCTCCCTGTCTACTGGGATAATAGTAACTTCATGTTGTTGTGAGGTTTGTGACAATGTACAGGCAGTGGACCTTGATAAATAGTGACGGTCCTCATTTTTATTTTTTATTGGATACAAAAAGACACATTTATTGGACACAAAATCAAAACACAGATATCTGCCCGCTAGAAGTTAAAATCTAGCTGGGATGGCATTAATATGAACCAGGACAAAGAACTGAAAACTATATGAAATAAATAGGTGTCAAAGTGTTCATAGAAAGAAAGTGCCTCAGGAGTTTATGGTAAGAGAGCTGTGTGTATTGGATCTGTTAGAAACATTACTTTGTGCTTTGTCTTGAGAGAGTGTAGACTCTAGCCCTTAAGTCGAGTGGGAGCAGGGTGGAAAGACATTCTAGGCTGAGAAAGACTTTGAAGCAGAAAGTGACACACATATGCCTGGGATTGAAGGAGCAGCATAGTAGAAGGGAAAGGTTCATATCTGCAAAAGAAAGTTGGATAGGTTTGGGTGAACCTCAGACGTAGCTTGAACTTGCTTTATCCTGTAATGGGGAGCTTTTGATGGTTCTTGAGAAGTGAGGCACAATGAAAACGAAAGTGACATCACAGTATGACAAATAGTTGTTTGGAATTAGTGGATTGATAGAAGAAACTGGGAGTAGATGAAATTGTAGCAATCTGTGTGTAATGTCATCAAGGCTCAGGCCATGATAGACTTTTAGGGCAAGACAGGAACTCAGATCATCTGGTTCAATGTTTCTCAAACAAGATTTACTCTGGGAGCTCTAAAGAAAGAGAACAGAGCCAGACATGGTGACATAGGCCTGTAATCCCACCACTCTGGGAGGCTGAGGCAGGAAGATGCCAAGTTCAAGACCAACCTGAAGAATTTAGTGAGTCCTTGCTTTGAAATAAATAAAAACAGCTGGGACGTAGCTCAGTGGCAACGTGTTTCCCCAGCGTGTGCAAGGCACTAGGTTTAACCGTCAGTACAAACAATAAGAACACACCAGAGTCATGGTCCTGCCCCTGTAATAGATGCCTTTGGTGAAAGCTCCCCAGGAAATGGGGTACAGAAAGCAGCAAAGGGGAGGTATCAAGGACCTGTTGAGAGAAGGAGGCTGCAGTCTTAACGGTGAAGGTCAGCCAGGGGCAGGGATAGAACTCCAAGGTGAGTCCGGGACGGCCCGGGCAGCAGGAGGGGTGAGTGTTGCCCAGAGAGGATGCAGGGAAGGGATTCGAGGAGAAAGGCTCAGGAGGATCCACGTCAGCCTTAGATTTGGTCACCCCCAGCAACATTTGAGGCGCGGGGAGTCAGGCTGCAAGGCTCCAGGAAGCCATGGCACTGTTAGCCAAAAAACTTGGCGGTGTGTGGGCTTAATAGACAATTCTCGTTTTGACTGTGCAGGCGAAGAGTGGATGATTCGGAAGGTGAAGGTGGAGGATGAAGATCAGGAGGCAGGAGAGGAAGTCGAATGGCCCCAGCATCTACCGTTACTTCCTAGCCCCTTTCCCACACCTGACCTGGGGCATCTGGCAGCCGCCTACAAACTGGAGCCGGGGGCCCCAGGGGCTTTAGGTGGGCTGGCGCTGTCTGGGTGGGTCCCGGAGAAGCCCTACGGCTGCGGAGAGTGCGAGCGGCGCTTCCGGGACCAGCTGACGCTGCGGCTGCACCAGAGGCTGCACCGTGGGGAGGGCCCCTGCGCCTGCCCCGACTGCGGCCGCAGCTTCACGCAGCGAGCCCACATGCTGCTGCACCAGCGCAGCCACCGCGGCGAGCGGCCCTTCCCGTGCTCCGAGTGCGACAAGCGCTTCAGCAAGAAGGCGCACCTGACGCGCCACCTGCGCACGCACACGGGTGAGCGGCCCTACCCGTGCGCGGAGTGCGGCAAGCGCTTCAGCCAGAAGATACACCTGGGCTCGCACCAGAAGACCCACACCGGCGAGCGCCCCTTCCCCTGCGCAGAGTGCGAGAAGCGCTTTCGCAAGAAGACGCACTTGATCAGGCACCAGCGCATCCACACCGGCGAGAGACCCTACCAGTGCGCGCAGTGCGCACGCAGCTTCACGCACAAGCAGCACTTGGTGCGTCACCAAAGGGTGCACGATGCCACCAGCCGAGTCCGGCCTTCCCCTGAAGCGCCCGCCTCGCCCCTTTCCCCCTCTGTGTCCCCCACGCCGCCGTCTCCTCCCGGGCCCAAGCCATTCGCCTGCTCGGACTGCGGCTTGACCTTTGGCTGGAAAAAGAGCCTGGCTACGCACCAGCGTCTGCACCGCAGCGAGGGTCGCCCCTTTGGGTGCGACGAGTGTGCGCTGGGTGCCATCTCGGACCCCGCCGCCGCAGAGTCGTTGCCCTGCGCACCTCGTGGTCCGGGCTGCAGCCCGGGCCCTGGCCCCGAGGCGCCCCAGCACAGTGTTCCCGGAGAGCGCTCCTTCTTCTGCCCGGACTGCGGGCGCGGCTTCGCCCACGGACAGCACCTGGCGCGGCATCGGCGCGTGCACACGGGCGAGCGGCCCTTCGCTTGCGCGCAGTGCGGCCGTCGCTTCGGCTCGAGGCCCAATCTTGTTGCCCACTCCAGGGCTCACAGCGGCGCCAGGCCTTTCGCCTGTGCCCAGTGCGGCCGCCGCTTCAGCCGCAAGTCGCACCTGGGCCGCCACCAGGCCGTGCACACGGGCAGTCGCCCCCACTCTTGCGTCGTCTGTGCCCGCAGCTTCAGCTCCAAGACCAACCTGGTTCGCCACCAGGCCATCCACACTGGCTCCCGCCCCTTCTCCTGCCCGCAGTGTGGCAAGAGCTTCAGCCGCAAGACCCACCTGGTGCGACACCAGCGCATCCATGGCGAAGCTGCCCTCCCAGCCTCTGATGCCGACCTGGAAGCCCCACCCTGGCCCACTCCCACTGAGGTGGCACCGGCCCCGCTCTTCTGAGCCTGTTCTCACCAGACCTTTCCATAGCTTTACGATTCGAGAGCCTCATGCCCTGAGACCTCTTGGCCCTTCAACGCTATGGCTTGGACTCCTGCCGCCATCCGTTACCCACCCACCCCCCACCCCCGGTGTCTGGACAAAGTCCACAAAGCATCCCCAGCTCTGACTAGTAAGAAAGAAGGCACAGAGAATCCTTGCACATGCCTCATGAGAAAGCAGACATCCCTGGGCCTGAACAGAACATGGCCGAGGCAGGTGGGCTGTGAACCCATAGTGGGAGGGAAAGAATGGTTGTCTGTGTTCTCAAAATGTCATTAAAGTTCAAATTCCAAGACTGCCCTGGCTGGAGCTGTTAACTGATGGGAGGGGCTGACTCTTCAATCTGCTGTCCCACCTCCATCCACAAGAAGTGCCCCCTTCCCTCTGTCATAGACAAGTTAAATGTCGCTGGCTGCTATTAATCGGCTGCTTTGAGTCAAAATGTAAAAGGCTTAATTGGCAAGCCACTGCCCTGGTTTAGGACATTGACTTCGAAGAGACATTAGTGTACATTCTCCCTAAGGGAAGGCAGGGAGGGAACCTGCAACCCTTTAGCCATTCCCATGGAGATGGCCTGCCGCCCTAGGCTCTGGTGCTCTGCGCTTTGGCCTGTTTGCAGTTCTCCTGAGAGAACTTCATTGCCAAAGCCTTGCCTGTCATGGGTGGGGGCCACCTGCAATCACACACTGCCCCAGGTGCTCTCCTGATGGTGGATGCTTGGTTCAGAAGCCTCTGCAGCTGGGCTTTCCCGGTGGGCTGTGAGGGCTAGGGATGACCGGTAGGGTGATGGGGGCTTCCAGGGTTTTTAGAGGGCAGCTTGTGGGACTTGGAGCAATAGCATTTGTCCCCCTGGGCCTGGGGTTTTTCACTAAAACGTGAGAGTTGAAGCGCTTTCCAAATCTACATTTCTAACACACACACACACACACACACACACACACACACACACACACAAATAACCCTAGTGAGTGTTTATTGGGTGCCTCCTGTGTGCCAAGCACTGTGCTGGGCACTGGGACAACAGGTAGCAAGACAGTGGGGACCCTGCCCTCGCAGAGCTCCCAGTCAGCACAAGAAGTGCTGGTATGGAGTGTGCACACTAGGCCTTGGAAGTGTACATCTAAACATTTAGGAGAGGTCAAGAGAGGGTGGCAAGATGGTGACATTTCTAGTGAATCCTGCAGGAAGGATTGGGACACACAAATGGGACGTGGTAGGGCAGGCATAAGCTGGAGGCAGGTGCAGGTCCAAGAGGAAGTGGGGATGGAGTTTGTGGGGATGGAGATCCCAGTGAGGGCTGAGAGGCCAGGAAAGGGGCTGAGAGCTTGAACGGCCGTTGTGAGCACACATGCAGGAGTTTGAACTGCGTCCCTCCGAGGGGCTGCTGCCCACGGCAGGGCTTAGGGAGGGCAGGAACCTGGCTGCTTTACATTCACGAATTTTAGAAAGATGCATGGCTGAAGAGGAAGACACTGGGGGCTTGCACACAGTCACTGACGTGCCAGGTGGCAGTGACTGTGGGCTGGCTGTGCTGGAGGAGGTGGAGAAGTGGTGAATTCAAGAGATGCTTACTAGGCAGGTAGATGTGTAGAACTTGTGGGGAGGGAGTGGGGGAATCAGTGGAGTCCTCTGGATTTCTGATTCAGGGATTAAATGACAGTGGCCTTCCCCTGAGAAGGTTTCATGGGAGAGGAGCAGTTCTGTGCCGGGGGAGCAGTCTTGGAGCTGCCAAGTGTGTGCCCAGCATGGGGCCCATAGGAAACAGGCTGTGCAAGTGCAGAGCTCAGGGGAGGGCTGGGCGGAAGCCAGGCCAGTCTGAGAGCCATGGACTCACTGACAGAAGCCTCTAAAGAAGATTGGGGGAATGGGGGTGGAGGTGTCGGGGAATGGAGAGGAAGACTCCAAGAAGAGGCAACCAGAGAGGCAAGGTAAGAACAGAGTTTGAGGACGAAGGGAGCAGTCGAGGGCTGCAGAGAGCTCACAGTCTCAGAACGTCCAAGCCCCTTGCACCGAGCAGTCATTCACAGTCAGTGAGCAGCGTCAGGGCCATTGGGGTAAATAAAGTCAGACCACAGTGGTGATTCCCAAAAGCAAAGTCCTAGAGCAGGTAGAAGAACAAGCAACCTGGACACGGATGAGGGGTGGCCATTGTATAGGAAGCCTCTTTCCCTGTAGGGCCAGGAGACCATGAATGCAAGTGAGCTTTTAAATTTTGTGGCTAAAAATGAGTAGGCAGCTCCAGGTTAATGTTGATATGGCCAGCAAACAGGAGCTGGTTTGCTTGCCTCTCAACTCCTGCAGTATTTTAAATAAATGAAATTTCACACAAAAATCTGGACTTCCAGCTCCTCTTGTTAAAAATGGGAAGATTTGGCAACTAGCATCTGGCCTGTTTGGGCCAAGGGTTCTGAGTTCTCACCACTGCCCATTTTCTTCAACCCAGCTTAGCCTCTCTCTCAGAAGCCGCCTACCTGGCTTCTGATCTTGGGATTCCATCTCAAAAGTAATCTCACAGACTTTTAAATTCAAACACAAAGTTATGTTTATGTTGGTTATAACAATGCTCTCCCATCTCCAAACGTTCTGGAATTATGTCAGAGCAGCTTTTGCATTATGCAGCGTATTTGGTGAGACCTAACATGTGCCAGACATTTCCAGGATTTCATGTTCTCTGAGATTCTCTGAGGCTTGGCTTTGTCCTTTGAGCTTGTTTGCAAAGAGTAGAGTCATTTGCTGTCAAGCCAGTTGGTGATCAAAAGCGAAAATGTGTGCTCAAAAGATGCAGCATGGCTGTTCTAAAGAGGAGTTCCAGACTCAGTAAGCGATGGTCTCCTGAAATCACTATTTACCCCCACACCATGCCAAGTATGGCTGTCTTGGCAAAGCATCACACCTTTAACTTTAGAACCATATCCTGGGGAGTGACAGTGCTTGGAAGTAAAGCTCACATTTGCTGTTTCTATATGCACTTTCTAATTAATTTCTAATTAATTTTCTTAATTAACTAAAGTGTTTTGCTTGTCTGCAATCTTCTTCCAAAAACACAAAAGTTGGCTGTAGCTCATGGGTATAGATAGAGCAGCCAGTATGTGCCAAGTCTGTACTAGTCCCACTGTGCAAGAAGTTTAGACAGAGATGTTTAGAATGTGCCACTTGTCATAAGGGACTCACAGTCTGTCTGGAGATGAGATGTTGAGGTCCATGGAGTAGACAATGTAAGTTCGTATGGCATTCTGAGGACCCTAGAGACTCAAAAGACCTGGGATAGCTTTGGGGAGGAGATGGTGCTGACCATAGTCAGAGTCTGGATGTGTGGAAGGCAGAGAAAGGGAGGGAGAGAGGAGATCCCAGGCCCGACCTCATCCCCACACATTGCTGCACAGTCTCCTGTCCCCTCAAGCCATTGGTCCTCTAGTCAGTGACTCCTGCTTTCCTGATCTCCATGGGGTTTTTGTTTTCCAATCTTTTCTTGAGTTTTAGTTTTATTTTGGTAAAATATATATAGCATAAAATTTACCACTTTAACTGTGTTAAGCAATCCAGTAATCTTAAGTGTATCCACGACATTGTGAAACCATCATCCGTATTTATTTCCAAAAGATGTCATCATTCCAAATGGCAGCTGTGTTCCCAGTCTTTTTATGTGATGGTGCATTTAGACAAGGCCGATATTAAGGTCATAGAGGAGGCAGCCTGAGGCCTGTGGTGATCACTGGGGTTGCTATGGACCCCACCTGGTGATCCTGAGAACAGAATGGGCAACAGGCACTAACTTGCTGCTTGCAGCAGGTTAGAAAATTCTGTCCCATCCCTTGCACATGAGCGTGATGGGGACCACGTGCTATCATTAAATGATAGCCATCCAACGAGTCTCCCCAGAGTACAGTAGTACCACAGATAGGAAGCATCCTATTCATCAAACTTGATCTCCAAGTTTTACTTTGTGGCTCTTTTTTTGAGACAGGTCTTGCTCTGTAGTTCAGACTGGGCTTGAATTCACTATGTAGCCAAGGCGCAGTGATCTGCCTGCTTCGGCCTTCCAAGTGCTAGGATCCCAGGCGTGCACCACCACACCCAACCTGTGGCATATTTTTATTAGTGTCCTCATTTCTCTGTAGTCCGCTCTTAGTCCATTTCCTATTGCTATAACATTATCTAGTAATAGGTAATTAATAAAGAGTCCTTTTATTGTTGAAGCACGGTCTCACTATGTAGTTCAGGCTGACCTTGAACTCATTATGTATCCCAAGCTGGCCTTGAACTCATAGTGATCCTCCTGCCAAGCCTTCTAAGTGCAGGGATTATAGCTGTGCACTTCCATGCCTGGCATAAACAGGGTTATTTTGGCTCATGCCTGTAGACTCTAGGAAGTCCAAGATCGGATGCTGTCTCTGGTGAGGCCCACATGCTTCTTCCTAACATGGCAGAAGTCAGAGGGGCAAGTAGGCATGTGGGAAGACACAAAGGGTGACCTTGCTTTGATCATACATGTCCAGTCCTTCGAGGTGGAGAACTCACCAATGAGAGCACTAACCCAGCCCATGATAAAGGCATGAGTGGCTAGGAGCCTAAGGGCTGGAGCAGGCCCCAGTCAACAGAGAGGACAGTGTCTCTTTCCTGCTTTGGACTTTGAGTCCATCCCCAAGGCTCACCTGACTCCTTAGCGCATGAACCCCAGGTAACAGACACCACCGAGTTCATGGCCCCGCCTCCAAGTTGTTGCTGCCTTCCCAACTCTAGGAGGGACCCATCAGTGGGTGATCCAGCGTGCTGTGTTTGCATAATCCATGTGGTGCTTTGTACTGGGGGCCACTCAGATACCCAGAACACTCTTTCTTATTCTCATTTAGGTGCCACCAGGCTTGAGGACCTAATCAGTAATACAGAGTGTTTGGGAGGGGTAGAGTCAGATCAAGATGAAATGAGCAGACTTCAGTAATAGGTAATCCAGGCTTTAGCAAAATTTGTTATCTTATGATTCATAGGACATAAGAATTTTCCAGGGCTCCTGCACCTCCTCTCTCCCTATCTGCAGGGTTGGATGTCGAGAGCTGCTGGTCAGGGCAACCTGCCAGATATACCTGCCAATCTCAAGTCAGAAAGATTCCAGTGGGGTGTCATTTGACTGGCTCAGGCAGGCAGGGAGACTGGCATTTTAGTCCAACACTCATGAAGATTGGCTGAGTTTTCAAGTTTACTGGACCTTGTGAGACATTGTAGGGAATAGAGCAAAAGCTCTTGCTTCCATGGAGTTGATTGTTGAGATGGAAGACAAGTGTATTGCTCACCTAAGGAC